TAGTTCTTTCTGTTAGTACAGATACATTACTCTTACTTAGAATTAAATAAAGTCTGACTCATACAGTCTGTTCTTCTAACAATTAAATCAGCAAAGAATGGTTACTATTTCAATAAGATCTGTATAAAAACAAGAAAATGAATGAGAATTTCCATCCATAAAAAGAAACTGGTCTTTTCCTTTGCTCAGGGGCAAAATATGCTGTTACCTATTAAGTGAAATGTGCCGGCATATGTGGATCTCAGTGAAATTTCACACTTTCTTTAATTTCAAGTTTAAAGACACTTTCCCCCATCACAGTGATAGTAGAATTTATGATTAACATTTTACAGAGGAATGAATGTTGCTGAGATACACTTTATAGGCTGAATCCTTTTTAATTGTATGTTACAAGATTATAGAGTTAAAACATTTAGCCCTAGAAATATAATTTCTCCTAGTATATTTTTAAATAATGCTCCTTGACACTCACTATGTGTTTAATACTTATTTCTTAATTCTCATCACACTTGTCTTTCCACAATAGCATGGAACTTTTATTTCAAGTGTAGTCATAACTTTTCATTTTTTTAGGTTAAATATTTACTCTTATCATTCACTAAAGAAAACAATAGCATCATTTCTGCTTTTAGGGGATCAGAAGGCCAAGTAAGTATTTTTCTATGTGGGCCAGTTTTTGGAATTATTCATAGGAATGTTGTAAACAATGTGGAAATCCTAAAGTTATGTTTTATAAGTTCTAAACTAACCACGTTATTTTTTTCAACTCTTTTTAATTCCCTCCACTTGCATCTGTGGAAATTGCCATATCACGCATGTTGCTCCTTGCACCTAGGCAGATTCATAATCTACTATCTCTGAAAACAACCATTGAGATGCTTAGATGTTTATAAAGACTGTACCAAATTTGTTCTAATTTTAATGTGGACTGTTGCTAAATGTCCCCTCTCCACTCTCCACTCTTCATTTCATCTCTGGGGAATGCTCTGCATCACTAAAGTAACATTCAGCATTATCATCAGTTAGTTTTAACTAACTTCACATACTTAAATGATGGAATGTATGCTAGATTTTAGGGAAAATAATTTAAATAGATCTGATTTCTGCCTTCTAGCCACTTACATATTAAACCATGATAGAATGAGTTGTTATTTTTAATTGGCCAGCAAGTTTAACATTTTTCACATAAAACTTTCTAAAAAATTAGGCAACTCAATTGCCTTCCTCCATAAAGTTTGCTAAATAATGCATGCTGAAATATGATGAAGAACTAAAAATGCCCAGGAAGTGTGTAATAGTTCCATTTTAGACTCCCAAGAAATGAAAATGACTTTAGCAGCTGACAACTGGCATCTGACAGCTAAGCTGAAATATTTTCAAAAAACATAAACAATTTTCTAGAATCTAAACAGTAATCATGAAGCCATTCTGTGAATATGGAATGGAGTAAGATAAAGGCACATCTACTGCATGATCAGGTCTGAAACAAGACAGAAACCAAGACATTCAGCAGCCACAAAAATTAGCATACTAACCATTGCATTTTTATAACAGCCAAAGGAGTTCTGCTTTAATATTTTTGCTTTCTAGGTAAAAGTTGCCAACATATCCATTACTAGATTGCCCCCAAGCTTGACTGCATCCAATCCCAGAACTGCTTTTAGAATATTCAGGACAAGTCTTTCCTAACTCTTGTCATAAAGCCACTCCTAACTCTTACCCATGCTCAGAGATTGCCTGGTTTGCCTTCTCTTTCATCATAAAGCACCAAATAAAAGTAACTTGTCCAGGCTACTAGCAGATGGCCAATGGTCTTTGGCTGGCAATCTTCAACATTCCTCATGACTCAACTTTCATTAGTTATATGTCAAAGACTACAGTTAAATTAGTAACCAAATATCATTTTTAAACAGTTTTACTTGGCTTTATATGTAAGGAAAATAAGTTTAAATTACAATGCTGATGATCTGGCTTCTCTCAGCATGTCAAATTACACTTTTACATATTTTGAAAGACATTGATGAAGTAAGAAAAAATAGAAAAGGGAAAATTCTATAGACATGTTTGCCTTGCCCAGATTCATATGTTGAAACCTAATCTCCAATGTTATAATAAAGAGTGGGGCCTTGGAAGATCATGCTTGAGCTTAGTGTCCTTATAAAAGAGAGTCCGGAAAGCTGTTTTAGCCCCCTTCACCTGCGTGTACAGAGAGAAGACCATCTGAGACCCAGGAGGCAGGTCCTCGCCAGACACCGAATGTGACTAAATCTTGATGTTAGAATTCTAGCATCCAGAACTGTGAGAAATAAAGTTCTATTGTTTATAAGCCACCTGGTCAGGTATTTTTGTTATAGAAGCCTAAGTTAACCAAGAGGGCAATAGACATATTAAATTTTTGTTTAATGCCACAAACTTGACTTAAGTTGTTTAGTTTGCTATTCACAGAAATTAATTCTCTAGGTTACATTCAAATCCTAATCAGTTTCAATAATTGTTCCAAGGTCTTACTGCAAATAAGTTTTGAAATTTGGAGCTAGTCTCAGTTTCAGCTATAAAATATGCTTCTTTCTGCATCTGCTTCAATAAGAACAGAAAATTAATAAAACTAACGTAATATAATTGAAAGTATATAAAATTATAACAATTTTAATGACAAACTGAGGGTAATTAAATCACAATGAACAATTAAAAGTTATAAGTATGATAACTTCTCAATTAAAAAATTTTTAAAGCCTAGTTCCCCTGGTATTTCAAACTTTTTCCATAATATCCTCTTGAATTTTCCCATAGTCCACTCCACCCTAATTTCACTGATGCCTTTGGTGTTCCTAGAACACTAGGGCATGCTCTTATCTCATGGCCTTTATACTTGCTCTTCCTTCTCTTTTCATATGTGTATATATAATATTACACATATAAGCTATACTCCCCAAAAAACTCCATCCATTGTTAATATGATAAGAATGGTTCATGTAGCATCACTGTAAACTATCAGTCAGGGAGAGTAGACTGGAATGTGCATGCATGAACAATGACATCTTCACTGTACTGGCCAGGTGAGGAAAGTAGACACTGTTGAGTGAGCATGTGTACTGTGTGATCATTGCATTCAAAATGACTGAGCAAATAGAGCAACTAATCTGCATCAAATTTTGTGTTAACCTTGAACATTCTTCAGCAGAAATTATTTGGATGATTCATAAGTCTGCAGGTATGGGCAACTGGTGATTGGCAGCTTCACCACAACAATGCATCTCCCATGAGTCACATCTTGAGCAGAGTTTTTGGTAATACATCAAATTACCCAGGTGACTCAACCCCTTACAGCCCAGATTTGGTGCCCTTCGATTCCTGGCTTTTCTCAAAACTAAAGTCACCTTTGAAAGGGAAGAGATTTCAATCATTGATGAGATTCAGGAAAATAAAATGGGCATCTGATGGTGACTAGAACTGTGTGAGATCCCAAGGTGCCTACTTTGAAGAGGACTAAGGTGTCTTTGTCGTTCTATGTACAGTGTTTGTTGTATCTTTTATCTTCTTCAATAAATGTCTCTTTTTATGATATTACTTTGGTTGGATATCTTCTCGACAGGCCTCCATATATATAATACATAGCACACACATGTGTGTGCACACACACACACACTAATTTCCCTTGACCCCCATTCCTACCTCTCCAATTGTATTCTTTATCATTAATGTTGTTTCACTTTTCCCCATTAAACTTAGTTTGTGTACTTATGTTGTATTAGTTCATGTTGTATTTATTTATTTTGTTTTTCTGCCATTCCTGCACAGGACAGATGCTGTAACAGAAAAGGAGTTTGTTGCTATTGATTTTGACACTTGAAGTGGCAGTGATTTTGACACTTGAAGACCATCTTGATTTGTTTCGTTGTTCTTTTTTGGTCACTCATGTAACCCCAGTGCCCAATACAATACCTGTTACATAGTAGGCACTCAGTAAGTTCTTGTTCAATAAATAAGTGAGAGCAAATACAAGGCATATTCAAAGATGGGTCCTTACATTTAAACTTTTAGGATTTAATGTAAATTTACATCTTACTTAAATTCTAAACTAGAATTTAGAACTTTAGAAATCTAGAACTTTAATAAATAACAAAAGCAAACAACAAATTTCCAATATTTTAAAAAATCAAATAATCCAATTCAGAAATATAACATCCTGTGTTCTACTCTTTTTCTTTTCTGTTTTATCTTATATATTTCAATTCATTCACTTGCATTTTGATAAATATTTATAGATCTCCTATACCTAGGACCTTGCTAACTACTGAAAATATTATGAAGACAAGTCCACAATTTGCTAGTCATGTGAACTTGGTCAAGTGACTCAACCTTTATAATATTTGGTGTCTTCATCTGTCAATTATGACTAAACAGAGTAACTACATACCAGCTTCTAATGCTGATGCTTTAACAGATAACATGAGATGAGATAATGCCAATGAAGAATTTAGCACTGCACCTGGCCTACTGGAGTCATCTAATTAATATTGTTCTTATTGCTTCCAAATAATATGATATTGATGAAGATAACACACTTGATATGCCCTTGCATTCATACAAACTTAGTATATTTTATAGAGAAGATAATAAAAACAGTCTAATAAAAGCACAGATAGAAAGCCATATTTGCATGTAACAGAGTTTCTTTCATTCAGTAAAGCTCACCAATGACCTTTTCAGATTCCCCAACTCTCTGCTTGTCTCAAAATTACCACTCTTCCTCCCCCAACCCAGATGTGCACCCAAACATCAAGCCACTATTTGAAAGGTAATTAGGAGCTTTAACCTGTTGATGCCTCCTTTTTCTTCCTTCAGTGTAATGATACTCAGCCAAGGACTACTTCCTTTGAACTTGATTCATACTATTGAGAGTCATTTTACTTTATTTGGCTGTAGATTTTGCTGCACATTTTCTGTAACTCTTTGAAATGATTTTAAACATAGATGAGGAGATTTGCTCATTTACTTACAGTGTATTTCTAGCACCTGCATGGCCACTTGAGGAGTAGCATTGAGGGATTCATGGTCGACTCTGCAGATTACTGCCACTCCATCATCGCTCCTGTCCACTCGAAAGTCCAGAGTGCTGCTGACAGTGAAAGTCTTGCGATTTGCATCCTCCTCTTTTAAATATTTTACATCTGAAAATAAAATACAAATTAAAATTTTCTGTGAAATTCTCTTACAAAATGTAACAGATTCCATGTGGAGAAAGGGGAACCCTTGTGCATTGTTGGTGGGAATGCAGACTGGTGCAGCCACTGTGAAAAGCAGTATGGAGACACCTCAAAAATTAAAAATGGATCTGCCTTTTGACCCAGTGATCCCACTTCTGGTAATACATCCAAAAGAACCCAAAACACTAATTCAAAAGAACATAAGCACCCCTATGTTCATTGCCGCATTATTTATAATTGCCAAGACATGTAAGCAGACTAAGTGTCCATCAGTAGTTGAGTGGATAAAATAACCATAGGATATTTACACAATGGGATACTATTTGGCCATAACAAAGGAGAAAACTTTACCCTTTGCAACAATATGGATGGACCTGGGGAACATTATACTAATTGAAATGTCAGTCAGAGAAAGACAATTGCCATATAATTTCACTCGTATGTGGAATCTAATGAATGAACTGAACCAGCTAGAAAAATAGGGACAGAGCCATAGATGGAGACCAGCATGACAGCTGGTGGGAGGTTAGGGAAAGGGGGGATTAAACAAAAAGGAGAAAGGACTCATGGACATGGACAACAGTGTGGTGATTACTGGGGGCAGGGAGGTATAAGGGGACTAAATGATAATGAAAAAATAGAACAAAGATTAAACTTTAAAAAACTCTTATTGGAAACAACTTTTCCTCTTTATCAATTTTTGAAAGCAAATATTTGTTAGTTTAATATTTATCCTATATGAATTTAAGAAAATAAAAATACACTATAAAACAAAATTTAAAAGTTAAATATAGAAAGAATAGAATGGGACACCATACTTTTATTCCTTAGGACAAATATTTCTTATACTCCCCTGGAAAAGTCAGACCATTTTACAATATTAATCCCTCTTCTTTAGATTTCAGTTTTATTAAAGGATAATCTTAATTCACTGAGCCACAAGCACATTTGGGAAGAGCATTTTCACAACTACCTGGTTATGCCTAAAAGACTGTACAGGGTAGTACATGAACTAAGACTTTACCATGAACAATGTGAAGTGGACATAATTGCTAAAAAATACCTAGGATGAGAGAAAGTTGCCATATTTGGTAAAGAAAATAAGGTAGACAGTCACCTAAATATTTTGAATATTTAAATATATATTTGTGTGAAATTTCCATTGAGATAATTGTTCTTCACTTGACAAATTAATTTTAACACGGATAGAATACTTGCCTTAAGATGTGAATTCAGTCATGAGTATTTAAACTTACTGTGCACAATTCAGCTTATGGTTAAATACTGCACTTAGGAATTATTTGTTCTCTATGGGAAAGAGGTTTCATAATATTTTCATTTAATTCAAAACTTCTCAAGTCTCAAGTAGCTGATAGGAAGAGGGCAATTTGATTTCTTAATTAATTAGAAATCAAAATCATAGACTTATGTTAAGATATCACTATAATAGGAGCTTAAATATAGTTGTGGGAAAATACCATTCTGTTTTCTTACACTGACATTTTAAATGAACAATGATATTCTCAGGAAAAAAGTTATTTCACAAAACCTGCATTAAATATTTCCATTTACTCTCTGTCAAATAATTTATTTTAAACATTTATATTGATAACAAATTAATGTAAATTCAGCTTCTCCATTTGTGTGCTCTATGCAGAATTTTACTTTAAAAATATTGTTGATTGTGATGCTTATAATGGGCAAACAGTTGCATGGTCCATTGCATTTTACTTATTGCAAAGGGGTATGGTTTTATCTTACTGATTTTAAAAATAAAATAAGATAAATATTAATAAAAGATAAAACTAGGTATATTTTAGGTCTTGTTCTTAAAAATATGTTTATTATTATGTTTATAGTTAGAAAAAAACACCTAATTAATATTTTACCACAAAAAGAAGTTTTATGTAATTTAGGCAGTTTTACAGAGTAAGAACAATCTCTAACATTTGAATAGGTAGGAAGGGTATAAAATCTTAATTCTATCATTTAACTATAAATCAGTCATACAAGGCATAGGGTTTTCAATAAACATATATCTTACAAAATATCTCATGAAATATCTCATAAAATATCTCATGAAATAACCAAAGTTATTTCTGAGGGTGAAAATAATTTTCATCCTCAGTTTAAAAATTTTAAATTAAAAGGATGAAATGATGGCTTTCAGTTAAAATACATCAGAATAGCCTTGGCTGGTGTGGCTCAGTGGATTGAGCATGAGCCTGTGAACCAAACGTTGCTGGTTCCATTCCCGGTCAGGGCACATGCCTGGGTTGTGCACCAAGTCTCCAATGAGGGGGCACATGAGAGGCAATCACACATTGGTGTTTCTTTTCCTTTCCTTCCCCTTCCCTTCCCTTCTCTCTAAAACTAAATAAACAAAATCTTTTAAAAAAATAAATCAGAATAGTACAATTTAGAGTTCTTCAAATTAAAAATATATATGAAGCTCTTAAATTTTATAGTGTATTATAGATTTGTATAAAATGTTGCCTTGTTTTTACATTTTATAGTCTTTCCTATAAGTGTATATCCAATGTTTTCTTGTTCATAGCTCTAAGGGTTGGTAACATAAGAAAATTTAAATCTTTAGGTAAACTACTTTCATAAGTATGCTATACCACATCTAAAATATTGCTGCTATGTTTAATATAATAGCAGCTGCATTTTAAGAACACACACATCTGCTTCCTTTAGCTGTTTTACTTTCCTGTACAAAAGCATCATTTAATATAATATTAATTGGACACATAAAATTTGATAGTAATTGTATAAACATAAGATTTTAATACCATTCAAATAAAATAAAATATAATTTGTTGTTTTAATATTAGCTTATGTTACAGCTTATCAGGTTACTAGAAGACATTAAATGAATGGGAAATGCACCAAAAGAGCCAATTATAATATTTCCCCATATTTTATGCTGACCACATCCTCCACAAACAGACAAAAAATAGTAATTAAAGTTTACCTCTATTTTTATTTTCTACCTTCATAAAATAACTGATGCATTACACAATTACAGGTCAATAGAAATTTTCTTTAGGTTGCATAGTTAATTTGTTGATTGCCTGTGTGCTTTTGTTTCATGTTCTGTCTTGTTTTAAAGAGTTCCTTTTTTCATCCTTTGTAATGTCACTGCCAGACACTGTGATTGAAAACACGATTTCTAAAACTGGAATGTGCTTATTCATCACTTTGGATCTTAGTAAAATGCAGATTCTGACCAAATATGTTGTGAGATAGACCGGAAAAGTGCCTTGCTGTCCCACAGACTATAGTTTTAGGAACAAGGGGATAGTGGATGCGTAGACACCAGAGATATAACCAAAGGTAAAGGGGGGATATTGGAATATTGAGACTCATTCTGTACCTTTCTTCTCTCCTTTTCTTTTTCTTTCTCTCTTTCTCTCTCTTTCTCCCCCCATCTCCCTTTCCCTTCCTTTCTTCATTACTTCCTTCTCTTTCTCCCCTCTTTTCTTAAACTTCCATTGTACCTTTACTGTTTTAAAACATATATTTTTTATTTTTCACATTTTTCAAACTAAACATGTCACACATTATATAATGCTTTGGTGCAATGTCTACAATTTGATGGCATATGATAAACAGAGAAATTTGTAGGCCTATTTTGTTTTATAATCTTTGTAGCCACCTCTCTATCCCCACCCCCCACCCCCCACCAAGAAAGAAAGATTCTGGGCATTACTTGTTCCTCAATAATCAGAACACTGGTTGTTTTGGTGGGTGGCACCTGGGAATTATCTCATTATATTATTGAATTCACCTTGTAATTAACATACATTTTTAATAATAAAAAAAGTTTTTAACATCTGCCTAGGAAAATCTTTTAGATATACTTCTCAACATAATTTATTTTCCTAAACATTTCTTAATGAAGTCTCAAAAATACAAGTTTTTATATTATGCATATTTATGAAACTCAGATTGTAAAATAACAACTTGCTTCTATTTGGGATTTTAAGTTGTTTATCTCATCAAGAACTACAGTGGAAAAAAATGGCAAATGCGTGAGTTAGACTGCTGGACCCCTGCCCACCTCCCTGCCCACCACCACCACCACCAATCAGCAAGTTTAAAAGTCCTGAGTCAGGTAAGTCAAGGAAGAAAGCAATGGTCATCTGGACTTTTTACATCCAAATCTTCTCATAAAATGTCAGACCTCAGGAGCTACCTCTCCATACACATACAGCTATAATAACTATTCTGATACTTTTGCCTTCTTCGTTTTGAGATTTTGATGCCATTTAAGTAGACCTAAAAAGAGACATTCTCATTTTTTTGAGAAACAATAATATTTTATCATAATTGTGTAAGGGAGGCAGTTTTTCTATTTTATTTTCCATTTTTTATTGTTGTTCAAGTACAGTTGTCTGCCTATTCTCCCCTCCTCTCCCCCTACCCCAGCCATCCCCACCTCCCTCCCCTGATTCCACCCCCCTTCATTTTGTCCACGTGTCCTTTATAGTTGTTCCTGAAAACCTTTCTCCCTTTCCTCACTTTATCCCCTCCTATCTCCCCTCTGGTTACGGTCCCTTTGTTCTTAATTTCAATGTCTCTAGTTATATTTTGCTTGCTCATTTGTTTTGTTGATTAGGTTACACTTATAGGTGAGATCATATGGTATTTGCCTTTCACCACCTAGCTTATTTCACTTAGCATAATGCTCTACAGGTCCATCCATGCTGTCACAAAGGGTAGGAACTCCTTCTTTATCTCTGCTGCATAGTATTCCATCATGTAAATGTACCCTAGTTTTTTGATGCACTCATTTGATGATGGCCACTTAGGTTGTTTCCAGCACTTGGCCATTGTAAATTGTGCTGCTTTGAACATTGGGGTGCATAGGTTCTTTGGATTGATGTTTCAAGGTTCTTGGGATATAATCCCAGTAGTGGAATTCCTGGGTCAAAAGGTAGTTCCATTTTTAGTTTTCT